CCTTGTAGAACTTTAATACATCTTTTAACTTTGTCTTTATAGTTGAGAGATATTTACATAAACAAATGTCACATCAGGTTTCAGTCGGTGTATATTTCGTACAGGTGGTGACTAGCACAGTCACGTGGTGTGTCACAATTTCGAGCTCGACCAATCAAAGCTCACTTCCGTTGCACGAGTTTTTCGAGCGCGTTATTTCCAGACTCAGTGAAATGAACCAGAAGTGTCGTGTTTTGACGAACTGTGATATTTTAGGTGGCGAGAATTCATCTGAAACAGAACTGACGTGTTTAGCAAAGCCCAGCAAAATGAAGTTTTTCAAAATGGATCGAATTAACTATGAATGCAGTTTTCAAAGAACGTTGTTCAGTGTGACTTTTCACCTTCCGTGACGTGGCAGGGAGCGTTGTAAGGTTAGTGAACTATAACGTACGATGAATGTATCTATATATTGTTAGAGTGAGTGAGTTTTGTTCTACCCCGCTTTTAGCAATATTCCATCAATATCACGGCAGGAGCACCAGAAATCTACAGGATGTCAGAGCGAATGTTAGAGCTAATGTCTATCTCGTAACTATTTTGTATGTGACGCTACTACCATCACTTATCTATCTTGTATGTGACATTACTACCATCACTTATCCATGTTGTATGTGACGCCACTACCATCACTTATCCCTTGTGTAGTTTTGAGGAACTACCACCACGTATCTATCTTGGCGGGTAAGGTCGAAGGCCAGATACCCTGGCGGCGTCAAGATGGTGCTTGTTGATATCTAGCTTTGCCCTCGACATTATCTAGGGTATGTGATAAATCCCGACTATGTCAGCACAAAAATCGCGCCATCCTTTCTAATTCACCACCACTTTCTATCTTGTAATTCTAAACCAACTAACAACACAAATGTGACGCTACTACCATCACTTATCATCTTGTATGTGACGCTGCTACACACATCTATCTTGTATGTGGCACTACACACATCTATCTTGTATGTGACACTACATCACTTACTACACACTACACACTTATCTATCTTGTATGTGACACTACCATCACTTTCACATCTTGTACGCTACTACCATCACTTATCTATCTTGGTGATGCTTTTCACTTATCTATCTTGTCTCTATCACATCTACCAACCACCCCTCCCACACCTACCCACACCCACTCCCACCCAAGTTTTTAGGAAAGGCGGGTAAGGTCGAAGGCCAGATACCAATGTTGTTGGGAACACCCTTCCTATTAATTCAGTTTCAAGGTAGGAATGGTTTCTATAGGAATGCATGGTATTGTATGTAAATGATGCGTATTGCGTAGTTCTGGAATGATCAAAACAGCTTTTAAAGATACATACTCTTAATTGTACGGAAAAGAAAGAATCACCAACTATCCAACCTAATATTGAGATTTCTGTTTCTGAACCATAACGGCTTTTTGGGGGGCTTAGTATTCAGAAATTGGATCTGCATGTTCAGTCAGAGTCATACATACTTAAGTTCCCAATATATCACAATACGGTTACCTGTATCACAGTATATTGCAGTACAATATATGTGCTACTACAGAGCCTTAGTCTCAGTTATAGAATATGATGGTGAATACACACATCAACGTTTGCCTGCGAAATTGTGCTGAGGAGACTGAGCAAAGCGAGAGGCGCCCAAGTAAAACATGAACTCGATATACCGTTCAAAACGAGAAAAGACGCTCGAGTCATTGATATACACATGGGAAGATTTTCATACTGCGTAAAGCCGGGAGAATGAAGACACATCACCGGATACTTTGACAGGTGATTTAGAATTGCATTTATAATTAATGGTTAATGTTCAAGTTAGCAACGATGTTGCGACATGCATGCATCAACTTGCCAGAGTGTATTTTCCGAAGGTCTTCGTCTTCCATGTCCAGAAAGGTTAATATTTAGTACTGTCATCCTTTAAATCAGTTCAGTTAACTGTAGTGCACATACTGCAGTTATGAAATTTATACCTCGATGCAGGGGGCGGATACAGGATATTCGTTGTTGTGTGTGTGTGTGTGTGTGTGGGTGTGTGTGTGTGTGTGTACCCTAATCCTCGGAACCCAGGGCATATATTATAGACTATACCTATTCCATTACACATGATCGGAGGCAGCGGAAATATATACATTGCCCTCGGTTCTGAGGATGGTGCACTTGACTTGAGTGTCTTACATCTCGTTTATATGTACTGAAATGGTCAGTTTGGATTGAGGAACGTTTGTACAGAAGCGTTCAAGCAGTCAGCGGGTACCATGTGGACCATGCGTGATATTGTTCCATGGAGGACATTTATCTACTCAGAAAGGAAGTGATTAATCTTAAATACTTCAGTTTGATTTTCAAAGTTGTATACAAAACACGTTTGCTTATAACTGGATTTAAAGTTACAAATGACCTTAGAATTATGTGTTCAAATCCAAACTTTAAGGTTACTTGTTGAGCTTTGACCATATATGATCCTAAGGTTTTCAAACAAAGCATGAATGAACAGTAGTCAGTGAATGTGACTTGTCTACATAACCCACGGACAATCTTTGAATCTACTGATATAGGATGCACCCTTGGAACAGCCGCCGTCTGTGTTTCTGAATGAACATCTGAACAACACTTTTAAGATCAACATCACATGTTTGCATTTTCAACAGTGTGAGTCCAGCCAAGCTTTCTTGACCCATAGTGGATCGCAGGTGTGACTTGACCTGCCTTAAGGAGGAAAATGTTCTCTCTGCCTCTACACTCATGACTGGCAGTGTTGCAGCAACTCTCAATACCTGTCTGATGTTCGGGTAGACATCAATATCAGCTGAAACAAAGCAGCCCTAGTCTCAGGGCGTACCGTGTGCTTTTCCCAGTACGCTTTCCACTCTCTTAGCTCTGATGATAGAGCAACTGGCATAGGCAGATCATCCTCCCAGAACATCAGTTTGAATTTCAAGCTCTCTACCACGTCGACTATGACGTCAGGAAGAAGAGACAGTAGATCAACCCCGCATCTGTTTTCAGGTTCAAACCGCTGGTGCAGTTCAGTGTTCTAATGATCAATAAAAGGAATGATGATGGTCCTTTTTACAGTACACTTCAGGGGTGTCTGATGGGGTGTTGTCTCGGTGTGTCATTCGCTTTGTCACCCTGGGAGTCTGTATCTCAGAACCAACAACTTGGAGTAAAACGTTCCTTCAGGTACTTCAGTTTCTCAGTATCACTCATCGATGATAATTTTACTTTCCCTGATACAATGTCACCGATATCATATATGTCTATCCCGGTAGATGCTTTAAACGTTTTAGATTCAGGCTCTGTGTCAGGGGTATCCATGTCACCGTGACATGTTTGAACACCAGGCTTGTCATCAAAGATTCTGTCTGATTCATCACCTAACCTGTCGGATATTGGAATTTCAGAATCTTCACTGGGACTCTCTTTCCAGGGATGATCTGAATGAGAATTGTCAATTTGTTTGGTGAGATTACAAGACTCTTCCTCACACGAAACAAAATGATTGGGGTTCACTGTGAGAGACTGTCCACATAATGTACATGTCTAATGCTTCATCAAATGTCCCCGACACTGGAGTTAATGTCTGGTGCATGACACTCCTATGACCGCCACATTTTCCCTTTGGGGATAGATGGAAATCAATCTTATTTGCAAACAATTGCAGGCAGCATACAGATGCAATTAAGAGCTGTATATACCAGAATTAACGCTTTTCAAAACCTCAATTTGGTAAGTGACGGCTAAATTTGATCCTGAAATCGTATCATGTGATGCTGAGGTGTAAACTACATATTCTGCTAGGTTTGTCGTCTTCTGAGCAGACGATCCAGACATAAGTTTCAGATTGTGATCTGAAATATAAAACTTGTCACGTGTTACCAGTTCATATACAACCCTAGTTCTACACTCAATGTGCTGATTTTCATCACCAAAACCTGCTAAATGATCTAAAAAAACAGTTCCCGTCACCTACACACGACATTGGTTGGTTCATCATCTGGATATAACTCACATGAAATTCTGTCAGTAATGAAGTTGGAGAAACAGATAGGCTTCAATGTTAAACTGTACTGTTTCAGCACACTTTGAGTTCTTAAAGACATTTGGAATTTCAATGTTGGCCGTCCTTTCTTAGCAGCGCTTGAAAACGCACGTAATATTGCGCTATAATGTCTATTCCGTTCATCCAGTATGATGACAGCATTGCCATTCTAGCATACTTTCAGTTTCAGCTCGTTACAGCGCCTGTGACATCACTGAATTATCTGACATGTATGTTACCCGTTGGTGCAAGGAGTTGCGTCTGGCATTGCATCATTGCTATATTTATACACAGTCTACACGACAGTGAAAAGTTTTCCGACTCTTTTTTAACCATAAAGGCATTGATGAACTCTCTTGGGGGGAGGGCGCACCCCACCCCCACGCCCCGGATCCGCGCATGTCAATGTGCTTGACGCCTTTGTAGCACGTCAACACGTGGCCCACGGCTTTTGAGATGTTGTGTGAAGCACATGTTTTACATGTGCATTCCAATATGCTGGGATATGATAGCCTGTTTGGTCCACACAATTAATAATTGCCCTTGAATTCATGTGGTGCTTAACTAATGCCCATGTGTATATAACAAGACTTGACAGGTGCCTCAATATCTATTCAACACAGACAGTAGTGGCGCTGGGTTTGCAGAGGCGTGCAATAATATACCACTAATTAAAGTAAAACGCATATTAAATTAAACTGATTTTCCCAGAGGAATTATTCCATAAGCTCTTTAACAAGAATCACTGGACTGTTTCCGAAAATAGAACGATTCGTACTTAAAATCAATAAGTTTGAATACACAGTTTCGGAGAACACTGACTGTATTGGTTTGTGTATTGATATCCTTTAACTAGTAAGATATTATTTTACACACGACTGCATCTGTCTTAAACACCCCGTCATGATGATTTATTTAGGACAATTATGCCGCACTGATTAGCTGACTTTTGAAATCGCCCGTGTCCCCAATGACACCCTAGTGCCTTAAACATTTAAGAAGTATTAGAGCTAGTCGTGAAGAAGTAGCATGGCGCTGTGTCAGACGTTGATTGTAATAGGGGTTTTACTAGGAACCTATGGCCGTAAGTAATACCACTAATTCTGTATTAATCGTGATATACGATGTATGACTGAGAATTTTAGTCTTTAGACCAAATGACTGTTCGTTACAGTCATATGACCAAATGATTGGTTTGACAGATTGACTGTAACTTATATACCTTGACAAGGATTTTCTTTGCTATTAGTCAAATTATTTGCTCGTTGGTTTAAGGTGGATGTATGTTTTATTTGGTGTTCCCTTCACTTTACATCGTTACCATGTAATAATCCGAATAATGTTCTTATGTTGTAAATACATCAACATGAATAGGAACAAGTAATACGATAACAAATGTTTCTATAAACTTGACGACAAAGCGTTCAGTTGTACTTTATACTGCAGAATATGGTTACTTCTCCAGGCATAAAAGTATCCTACAAGCCATCACGGCATGCTGACATTTTTTACATGTAATCTACAAGCCGTAATGTTTTCGTTTCACAGTATTCCTGAGATTTTTAGCATAATATGTGCTGTCTCTTCCTATATTCGTGTACTTTTCTTAGCGCCAGTCAGACTGCAAAGAGGTTAGTTGCCTGTAATCAGTACAGCCTCGATGTAAAATGTTTAGATTTTGAATAAGCGAGCTTGATTAAACGCCTTGAACCTGTTTCTGTCCTATGACGGTATTAACATACATGGACACTAGAAATGTTTCTTACTGTTATCCCTTAAACGGTTTATGGTCCTTACTCTTAAGATGACAATAGAAGTAACGGAATATTGCTTCAAGTAGAAACTGAAAAGCAGATTTGTCAACTTGCTGATCGCGAGGGTTCTTGTAATTTTGGGGTTTCAAAATCTTGTGCTCCATTATCAAAATGCCAGATCATACTTGATCATGACACACGACAAAATGAATATTAGTATGTTGTTCACGATGTAAAAGTGACAGACCACATAGCTCCTCGAGATGAGTGAGTGAGTAAGCCGCTTTTAGCAATATTCTAGCAACATCGGTCCATGAGATGAATGCCGTCTAATTGATCCTTGCATGCTGTAACCGTGAATCTAGAGTGTTCTCAACCAAAATCTGCAGTGAATATGTACGGAGAGGATTCTTTACGGTTGAAATATTCCTTTCCCTTTCCTTTTGTTTCATAAGATAGATTTATGTCTGCCGACTGTGGTGGGAAAACCGAAATGCCTAAAAGACTTCCTTGAAACCAAACAGTGACTTCTCCCAATATTTACACTTGGAAAAGCGTGTGGTCAGATTATGTACAATATGAAACTCTGTACTGTTACCATTTCAGCCGGTTGGACACGTGGTGGGAAAGAATATGTTCTTGTATCCCTTGGGAGTCATGGCGGTGCGATCAAACCATTCGATATATCTGTGACTACGCCTTCAGTGAACCTGACGTCGGCGTCTGTGACAACCTCGTGGGATCTCACCTCATCTGAGAACATCAGCGTGAGCGCAACCCAGGGACACTTGCTCTCTTATGGAATGGACGGGGTTCTTCAGGGTAGCTCAGCTCGAGGGAAAGCCGTTCATATTCAGACACCGGATGAAATAGACGTTTCTGTAATCAGCAGATTTACCTACTCTGATGGAGTTTATCTTGGCCTACCTGTTGAGAGTCTAGGTCAGGTCTGTTTCATTCTAACGCCAGATGACTGTTCAGACAACTGTCACATCGCCTTTGCTGCAACGGAGGACAACACGACGGTGTCCTTGACTCCAGGGGAGATAACCACAAACTGGGAGCATGTGCCAGGAATGACGAGTCGTAATCAGACATTTACTTTTCAGCTCGACAAACACGAAAGCTTTAAAGTTAGCAGCGCGTCTGATATTTCCGGTACGCGCGTGTCGTCCGATAAACCTGTCGCAGTATTTTCAGGGAGTGCTGGATTAAGGGGAGACAACCATGAGTCTGTTGTAGAGCAGCTTCCGTCAACTGATCATTGGGGTCGGACCGTCTACACCATTCCAACACCGAACCAACGGTCGAAATATAACATTTATAAGGTCATAGCTTCCGACGGCAACACAACTGTCTCAGTTGGTGGCCAAGTGGCTGACCTACCTTACCCTGGGTCTTTCGCCACCGCAACCCTGCCATCCGATGCTTTCCTTAAAATAACCAGCAACAAGCCCCTGCTGGTGATGAAGATCGTCCCGAGGAACACCAGTGTTGTTCAAGGGCAGGACGAATGCATGTCGCTCGTACTCTCAATGAACCAGTATATTTTAGACACGTCCTTCTTCTCACACAACGACTACAACAACTACGTCTCCATCGTCATCAACGTCACCCACAAAGATGAACTTCTTCTGGACCAGACTCCTCTTCCCGATACTACCAATTGGACGGTGAGCGACGATCTCGAGATGGCTCTGGGGGTGTTGCTGGTGGGTAGCGGCAGTCACACCCTCGCCACGGATGCCCCTGGAGTCAGGTTTGCTGCCTACCTGCACGGCGTCAGTATCAACACAAACGCAACCGTATGCATGCCGCTAGGTGTCGCCCTTTCTGTCAGTCGATGGGTAAGTTGGTAAAATAGTATATAAGAAACTAAATTATGTTTCGTTGGTTTCAGACCCTTTACATGTTAGTAAAGTTAAACTAAAGACCTCAAATTTTGCGACTTCAAATGGACCCATCACCAGAACCAAACCGGTGTTTTGCTGGTAGGACATTTACCTCCATTATCCGAAATATCTCTTCTTGAAATAATAAAGGCACATCGGCTTTTCTAAATAATATAGCATTGTAGAACGGCCTATACATTTACGTAACACCGTTATTATGGGTAATGGCATATAACATCGTCGCAATCCTTATACTACAAGGAGAATGTATAGTCAGGGAACTATACTCCATGAAATGTATAGGGACTAGTGTAATTAATCACCGGGTTGTCTGGTCCAGGCTGAAATAACCATCGGCTGTCCTGATATTATAGCTGGCTGCAGCCGTGAGCATGATTGACATTAAACACTTGAAGCTGGAGAAAGATTATTATTATTATTATAGGATATTTATATAGCGCACATACCCACGCACTAGTGCATGCTCAAGGCGCTGGTATTTTTTCCCTCGATCATTGGATGTCAATCTCAACGGCACATCGCATTATCAATCTCAACTCCCTGGGGAGTATACAACTCTTGCAGCCACTAGGCGCACCGAGTTATTGTAACTTTCTCATCCTAAAGATGCTAAATCCTGGAAAACTATCAGGAAATACGTAAAATGGGTCCTCCAATTTAGACAGACAGATTCTGTAGTTCCAGAAGCCGTTCACCATTTCAAAAATATGTATTGTTGGCAAGCGATAGGAATGCACCCGTTTCCATATTTTCCCCTTTACAGATTACACATGAAGTACTTTCTAATCTGTTCACAATACCATTGCTCTCTCTCTCTCTCTGCTTCTCTAGCCCTCAGACTGCACGTGCAGCACGTTGTGCTTTGACGAGGATACTGTCAACCGTACGATAACCCCCGAATATATCGCCAATCTCACCGAAGAGATCCGACAGAATCTGACTGTAGAACGGAAACGCCTGTCTGCGTCTATCCGGAAGAAGCAGGGTGCGAGAGACAGTCGGCCATCGGCTCAAGGTATGGGGACTATCAGTGTGTTATGCATCATTGTTCTGATAGCCAGCGTGGTGCTGTTTGACATCACGGGGATGTTTATCGGACCCACGTATGCATTTTCAAAGAAGAGAATGAGATCGAACCTGAGAAAGAAAATCAAGAAACAGGAGGAAGACACCGATCTCGTCTCCAAGTTACAGACAATTACCCATCATCAGTGAAGAGATACTGCTGCGGGCATGACACAAGACACAACTGACATGTAGGTTGACATTTCGCTCATGTTAAACATGGAGGTAATCTGGATGGCTATTGTCACAAGTTTACATTTCCACAACCTGTCGAACCTCCTGGTTAGTGGTTCTTGCCAGGGCGTTTTCTAAGGGAGGTCGCAAAATTCAGACCTGATTTTTCATACCACCATCGAGGGAATTCTACTGAGTGAGTGAGTGAGTATGATTTTACTCCGTTTTTAGCAATATTCCAGCAATATCACAGCGGTGGACACCAGACATGGGCTTAACACATAGTACCCATGTGGGGAATCGAACCCGGGTCTTTGGCGTGACGAGCAAATGCTTTAACCTCTTGGCTACCCCACCGCTAAGGCTCTACCAACATCATTCAGTCAGTTTCGGCATGGGTAATTTGAGGATGCAGATTAGCCCACAATTACGCACGCACGTACTCCCACACATATATAATAGATGTTTCATCTTTCTTATTCCACCGTAAACCGTCTTTTACTGCATTTTGTACTCGAAATAAATCACCGTTAGAAACTGCTTCGACGTAATGGGGTCCGACGCGGGTTACCCTCTGTTTCCGTTTCTGGCGTGTTCAAAACCAGAGAACGCAGTCAGATTAACAACTCCAGTCAAATATACACTGCTTTTATTCCGAGTAATCGATAATTGTGTGCTGAGGTTAAAGATGAAATTATTCAAAATCCAAACACGCCTCCAACCCATCCTCACCATGAGCATCTAGAGACGTCAACTAAACCGCTCCAGGAAACACGATCTATCATTCATTGTACCTGTGTCACGTCGGTTATGTAGCAAGGCCTTTTGAAATATTCAGACATATCGACAGCTGGCCAGTTAATGAGTGTAAACAGTCGCCGTGACATTTCTTTCCAAGCTGACGCAATAATTGATTTGAAAATCTTTCCGAAGTAATCACCAGGGGATCAATACTTAAATACTGTTTTATTATTTACGTTAACTGATTATAGTTTTGTTTTATGTTTTTGTACGCGATCCTCTACACAGTATCATTTATTTATGTTTTCTTAAAGGTCACATGCAACGTAAAACACAACTTTGCAGATTCTGATACCTTTCGGTATGAACTTACCGAAACAAATCGTCAAAAAATGCAAATTCAACTTATAAAGTTGAAAAATAACGCAATGAAAAAAACCGCGCGAAATCGGAGTTCAAACGTTTCACTAATTTTCCCCCGACTTTTCTGGGGAAAACGGGTTTCAACAGCTGGGCTGCGCTCATAGCACGTGCGCAGTGAAATAGGTTCGCGCAGCTTGGAAGCGGGTTGTCCGGTGAATACTCGGTGAAGGCTTTGGTGTGAGCTATTTTTCTAATGTTTTGTTGATATCTCACAGGCGCGAGCTTTTTTATATGTTATGACAGTAAATAAACTGTTTATATAATTTCATTTGTCTATTTCACCACACGTTCTTCTTACCGAGTCACTTTCTCAGTTCGATACTTAAAAGCAATGTCATTATTTAGCGTTGACAGAATTTCTAACTGTGATATAGATATGTCGTTGTCACAGACAAAACTCAATGTCTGTTTTATTGACACCTGTGTGTCTGCCTGCCTGTCTGCTAATGACAATATTCAATACACAGCTGCTATCACTGACCACATGCAATTTGAACTTAACACCAATCAGGCTATACACCATAAACAAAATGCATTGATTTATGGCCCGAGTTCGGTCTCTGTCACATTATGTAATTACACAGACAGGTAGGTGTGATACTTGAACACATGACATGTTATGATGTCTGTTGATTGCAACATGTTATACACAAAAAATGAGCATGTATTTACAAAACCCAACATCTCTATATATACACACACAATAGCCGTGAGGGCATCTGCAAATGAACCAGCCGTTACACTTGAGTGCACACCCACCCGCTCTGACTGGGTTCGGTATCCCGGCTGCTTCGTTTCTTGGGAAGTAAACCGAAGTACACAATATTGCACTTTTGATTTGCGATTGTACGCTTATAATTTTGTTTATATGTTTTTTCATAACCAACAATGTATATTATATGTCATGAATAAGTGATAATTGTGTTTTAATTATGTTTGATTTTTTGGTTGCATGTGACCTTTAAAGAGATAAGGACGCCCTTTTACACTACGAATGACTTCAAAATACCGTTGGCCACATCATTTTTATCACATGTCGGGTACATCTAAATTATTAGAGGATCACAGTAGATGATAGATATTTGAGTGGGTGAGTAAGTGTGAAAGTGAATGAGTGAGTGAATTTTTTGTTTAGCAATACTTAGTCTGATCCAGGCAACCCAGTGGTACACAGTATGTGTTACGACCATTGTTCCAGTGAACGTGCACGTTTTTGTATATTCATCTCAGATTGCAAATAAAATGTTACCAAATCTCAATTGCAGTTTTGTTTTAATTTTAATCAGTAATATACTCATGCCAATAATGGTTGTCACCCCCTTCAATTTATTTAATTGGAGGGGGTGTGAGGTGTATGTGGGGCTGGGGAGGGGGTGACAACCATTATTGGCATGAGTATATATATATGTTGCAGTTACCATTTGAATACGTGGAATTTGATTTTCAAACATACACAAGCACATGTAGTGATTTCCTCCTAAAAGATATCCGTACAATTATTCAGTCCGATGGAAAAGTGAGAGTGGTTTAACTGCTGGAAATCACAGATAGACCCGGATTCGATTTCCCACGAGTAAAATGCCTGAAGTCCATTTCTATTGTATCCCTATTGCTGGAATATTAGTAGAAGCGGAGTGGTCCTGTACTCAGTCATTCACGAGATCTGCTCCAATGTAGTTAAATACATGTCTGCGTTGTCATGATCTTGATTATGACGTCATTGTCCCTAAGTAGTTCTTATGGTGTAAGACATAATCAATTGTCTCCTAACAATTACACATTGTTTGCGTCCGGTGTCAGCTATACTCCGTCTAAATTGTTACTTAGGACTTAGACAGCGTGCCCAGTTCAGTGTCTTATTTTATAAACTTGACTTTCTGAAGAAATATTTCTGAAACAATTAAAAAAATATATACACACCTGAAGATTTGTTCCGTCAAGTCTGGTACCGGAATGTTAGGGCAAAGGGAGACTACTCTTGGTACACTATTCCCACTACGCGCGTTAAACACTTCAATAAAAGTGTCCATGCCATAGCGTAACAGTCAGGATAGAGCTGTAAATTAGTGTCGCCATTAATGTATTCAAATATAAAATCGGAACAACAAAAATAGAATGATTATACTGGACTGATTAAGCTTTCAACGCCAACCGGTTACTGTGACCTTCTCGAGACAAGAATTTAGACTCTATCGATCTAAGTGACGGAGAGGGGAACAGGAGCATGTTAGACTGAATACCACACATAAACACGTACCCTCCGGGATTGGATTGGAACTTTTATTGAACGTCTCCCTGTGTAGATGCGGCTTGATAAACCTCGGTTTTATTGAGACATGGGGTTCCTTATGATCAAAACAACATTTTACAAAAATGAAATATAATATTAGGTTGAAATGGCGTGGTGGTTTTGAACGTGGGTGAATCTTGTGTCCTACGCTGTGTCCTCCGCTGTGTTTTCCAGCTACACCACGTCAACCTGAAAAATCGATCTGGGGCATACAAAGTGGTGGTTGATATCATCCGCAACGACCAAAGCCATGTGAGATAATGTTCAGACTATGTAACCAGCGATCCTCATTGGTCAGATCTTACCAACAGCAAGTTGTAATACATACTAATGATAATACTAACTTATATTACCGATTAATACCTCCATGCAGCTGAGGAACACGACGTTTCGGAGTATATTCTTACTCCTTCATCAGGACGCTGGAGGCCGGGTTCGATCCCCACATGGGTACAATGTGTGAAGACCATTTCTGGTGTCCCCCGCAATGATGTTGCTGGAATATTGCTAAAAGCGGCGAAAACCATAATCGCTCACTCGCTTACTCTTTCACCAGGTGATCGTAGCTATGACCAGTGTAAAATCTATAATTTATTATCGGGATACAATAATCGATATGTTGAGCTGGCTTTGGGAAGCTGGGCTCGGGTCTTGGATGTATTTTGTTGCATTGCTGAATTGGAAATTGGACCTGACGAGAATGAACGTCATACAGTATTAAAGGTCAGAGTGACCTTGTGTTAGTGAATTAACAAACGACTCCTACGTGTCTTTTCGTAAATAAAATGTTATTGTATAGGTTTTTGTTGAGGAGAGAGTCTTTTTCCTTAAAATATTTTACCCATGAAGATCCGGGTTAGAATATTGATCTTCAGTAACCCATGCTTGTCGTAAGAGGCGACAAACGGGATCGGGTGGTCAGGCTCGCTGACTTGGTTGACACATTTCATCGGTTCCCAATTGCGTAGATCGATGCTCATGCTGTTGATCACTGGATTGGATCAGGTCCAGACTCGATTATATACAGACCGCCGCCATATAGCTGGAATAGTGCTGAGTGCGACGTAAAACTAAACTCACTCACTTAAAATTTGTTTCTTTTTTTTTAAAAATATTTTAAAAACTCTTTTTGCTGTTCTTATAATCTGTGTGGTTGCTAATTTGGCAGACGTCTGTCACACGGTCCAGGACAGCTATTGTCCGAATACACATTTAGTTCCAAAGGCCAAATACTGTAAAGCCAAGACATCATGCATAACGTATTTGCAGTCATTTATATAGCGCTAATCTCCATTCTTTACCACCATCGGCCAATCGTGCCACTCACTTTCATTAATTACATTTAATTATATTGTGACATTTATATCCTTAATTAATTATCCTTGGCCGTCGCTGTCATCAAATCAATAATTCAAGTGTCCAGGGGAATGTCATTGTGTCCTTTGTCAGTCCATTGTTGTCTTTTACTACAAATATTCACATATGTAGTGTTACCATCCATCTTATGTTTGATGTTCAACCATACCGCAAGGTTTTTTTCGCGTCTGTACCTTCGTTCTGTTTCCTCTCCGCCATTGTTGGGCTGCTGACCGGATATCCGTTGCATTTTGGTATCACGGAGGGGAGATAATTCGTTATGGAGGTAACAACCCTCACTGAACAGAGCTAAATAGTGATTAGCGATTCGTGTTTGACTGACTAACTGACTGAGTTTGGTTTAACGCCGCTTTCAGCAATATTCCAGCAACATCACGGCGGGGACACCAGAAATGGGCTTCACGCATTGTGCCCATGTGGGGATTCGAACCCAGGTCTTCGGCGTGAAGAGCCAACGCTTTAACCATTAGGCTACTCCACCGCCCCGATTCGTGTTTGAAGCTGTTGTAAGCATATTTAATCAGTGCCATACATCGTGGTATCTATTTGCCAGTATCTATTCGCACAAGGACCTATCACATGAAACACCAAACATCATCTGAAGAATGGTTCGTATTGACACGTTTGGATTTCATGCACCAATCAATGGCAACAAGTGTGTCTTAGGATTGGCTGTGGGACTGTTGGGTTATGTATGATACAGGATACAAAGGCATCGTATCCAGCTAACAATCGTTGAATGTCACACATCTTTCTTCTCAAGCCCACACACCAGACAAATCTGGACCTGGTTTTAATGTTTACTGATGAAATAATATTCTCAAGTACGACGTCATTACACCTCCATTTATTCATGGGGCATGAATTTCGGTTGTATCGAACTTTTAACAACCGCTTTACATTACAAGGCCAATAAATTAAAGGAGATAGGAGATGCTTATAACCTGTCCTTAAATGAAACATGCCTAGAGGTATGTGCTGATAAAATACAGGGATCCGATGAAAAAAATCCTGTTTTGCTTTGAAGCCGAAAAAACATGAAAAGCAAATCACTAAATGAATGAACTTTCGAGTCCATAAAACTTGTATGGTTATTTACATGCAACTAAATAAATGTAGAGATTACATTAAAGGAAATTAAAAGTATTTTTTCTGATAACGAATTGTTGGAAAACTACAGGGGAATATCGTAATGTAATGAAAATATATTTACACTATCAATAATGTACAACCTAACTTTAATGTCGTTGTTACAAATGGAACTTAAAAACTTTAGTGAAACATTAGGGTTCATTGTACCCATTAGTTGATGAGGCTATAGTCCAACGCCGTCCTGTTATAGATTATTCTTTGGCATCTGGTGATAAGCCAGAGTGCCTAATTTGACCATTTCTGTTGTGTTGGTTTGTTGTTTAACGCCGCACTCAGCAATATTCCATCTATATGATAATCCAGTCTGGACCAGACAATTCAGTGAGTGACATGAACATCGATCAACGCAACTGTTGAGAGCATAACCACCTGTTCAGAGAGCCTCACCACCTGTTCACATTAGTGACCTCTAGAAACAAGAGGTTGCTGTAGATCACTTCACAGGGTTGGTCTTTCATCAATAGTAATGACACAAAAAAATACATTTATTAACAACGTTTCCGGGTACATCCTTATCCTGTTATTTTGGTGATTGAGAGCCTCTTTGGAGCCTCTTTCTTAGAGAGGGAGACCCATTTCCAAACATACATTCAGACTCACACACTCACCGACGTTCTGACGAAAAGAGAAAAAGAAACAGAATGACTGTAAGTAAAAACCACTCATTATTTTTTTTCATTTCTAGGTATTCTGTTTATCACCCTAGTGACTCGTGTTAAATCATGAATATTCCCCCGAATCCCATGCGTGTATGCTGCGAGAAAAAAACACGTGCCAATGGCGCCAAAGTTGGCAAAAAGTGGACTATATTTTTTCTATCTGACACGTGCGGAACTACGTCGAAAACAGCCCCAAGTGTGCTGGAAAGACTCGGCGATCACTTGACATATATTACTAGAAGCAAGTAACGCAAGTAAGGGCTATTGCCCAATTTGATTTTCAAAACATGCTGAATATTTGATGAGGTTTGTATTTCAGCTACGTTTTCACTGCCACTTAACATTTCAATTTCACAGAAGAAAAAAATCAATAATAGTTTCACATAACAACCTGTTCATGCTCTTAACGGTGACACGTCCATACAGAAAGACAGGGTGCCGGGATTTTGCTTTCTTTAGTTGACATTAATGTCCTACTTATTCCCCGATTAGTGTATACACTGCTCAAAATTTGCTAGGCATAAAGTTTTGATGATTTTAAAACATCATCCTACAAATGCAGATGAATATATCCTGGAACACAATGATGGGATATTTTCCTCGTGAAGATCCGCGTTAGAACTGATCTTCAGTAACCCATGCTTGTCGTAAGAGGCGACTAACGGGATCGGGTGGTCAGGCTCGCTGGCTTGGTTGACACATGTCATCGTATCCCAATTGCCTAGATCGATGGTCATGTTGTTGATCACTGGATTGTCCTGTCCAGATTCGATCATTTACAGACCGCCGCCATATACCTGGTATATTCCTGTGCGGCGTTAAACAACAAACCAACCATCCAAAGACGTCGTTTGGCAACCGTGGAACTAGGCAGATGCACGGACAAGCTTGCAGCTGGGTCAACACCACCCCACCTTGCAAAGGTCTTTGGTGTAACACTTTCATTTTAAACGGTCGATGCTCATGCTGTTGATCACTGGATTGTCTGGTCCAGACTCGATTATTTACAGACCGCCACCATATAGCTGGGATATTGCTGAGTGCGGCGTAAAACTAAACTCACTCACTCACTCATTTTAAACGGTGATCTGACTGATTATTGTGAAGTATTGTTGTTTGCATTGTCTGGCACATGGTCTTTTACAGAAGCATTCCATCACAAACTTCGAGTAGTATATCATGAGAAAGGATACATCGAAAAACATCTCCGATATCTGTCGCAGACATTCAACCTTCCATTGTGCAGAGCATTGCAACAAGATGATGCTTACCACAGGCGTTAATTTTCTATCGGAACGACTCGGGCGATCAAAATGAAAAGTACACCTCGGCGATACCTGTCTTCGTGGTTATTCACAGAGGCACCATTGTCATAGAAATCACAGAGGTTCGATTATCATCATAAAAATCTATGCACAACCAGTTACGTTAACAAACCCAAAAATGTATATGGAAGCTTCCTTATAGAATGTAGGTCGGCTTCATTTGAGAAGCATTCCAGATATCATGAAGGCACCGCATTACGTCCAACAATGTGTGTGTGTGTGTGTGTGTGTGTGTGTGTGTGTGTGTACACATACATATGTATATGGAACTGTCAAATATATATATATACACACATAGGGTATGTCTTGCATTTTACGTCCAGAGGTTAATACCATCTCAGTTAAATATATATCTGCAATGGGATTAACCCCAACACGTAAAATGCAAGATACATCGTATATGAGCGAGACCGTACCATCGGTGTATTTCCAAAACAAGTCACGCTTTGATCAAGTACAATTCACAGCATGTCTCATTTAACAACCATGAGTGACTCCAGGGTGACAGGGAAGCACTTAACAAGTCTCAGTGATATCTTATTTATTTCTGCATCCAGGAGATATATGTTCGTCACGCATGTGCACAGGGTTACAATACAATATTGACCAATGTAAGCTGACAGGCCTGCTTTATCGTATATGTGGCATTGACTGTAAATATCGACGGGATTTGTCATTCAGAAAAACAAGGTTGTTATTTCAGCAGTTTGGAATGACATCTACAAATGAATCCAATTACACTTTATAAGTTGCTACCTTAATAGGGTGACCAAACTGAGCTTGACGACTGTACCCGTGAGTGGCGCTGCACACCATCTATACCTTCTCAAACACTTATATACAAATGATATACAGACCTAAACAACATGGATGTTATCCCCCAAAATCACTTTGCATGGGCCGTGTCCATCGATTGCATCTAATAGCCTTCTCGATGCTATGGTCACGTGAACTTTGGAAGTGTCCTACTCGCTGGTGCCCAAGTTAATCTTTATCTTTGTGTCTGCATACCAACACGGGCACGGGAGAGTGGTGTATTACGTAGTCGCTGACGCTGCCCATCAATGCACGTCGGAACTTGCCGAGTCCCCGAGTTCCGGTCACGATGAAGGAGACATTGCGAGCTGCTGCACATTCTACAATGGACGGGCCTGGCTTCTCGCCGTCAAGGCGAGCAAAGTCGCCCTTGATCTGAAAACAAATATTAAATGAGCCAATGTAGACCAACACCAAAAAACAAACGCCTTGACTTGCAAATTCATTCTAGGATTAATTTGGATTCATTTTTTAACTCATTTTCTGGGACACTGACATGAGCCAAGAAAAGAAGTGGTTGAAAGGTTAAGGTGTTTGCCATTCCCGGTTAGAGATTTGAGTTTAATTTGTGTAGATTACTACGGTGATGCTAGCCAATGACATTTTAAACTAATCAGTCTTAATGACTTTTTGTTCCTTCTAACATATATTTACAGCAATTCTACATACACAATGTATATTTTATTATATCAGGGGCGTAGCTACCATGGTAGAAAAAAACCCAGGCTTACACATTACTTTTGCTAAAAACGCTGGGCAAGCCCTCAATACTATCTAATATAAAGCTTTGCAACCTATCGGGCTTACACGAAAAAAATTGCTTGCTATGCGCCTGTTTATTAATAGGAAAATCGATATGGCTAGTGGTCATCGCAAGCTTGTGAGTTTGCGTCGCCTTATTTTACTGCGAACAAAGGCCTTCACACTGATACACCTCATCGCTACTAACATGATTGTTTTCAGTTGTATTTGTAGAAAAATGTTTCATTTTCCAAACTTGAGCAACAATCCCTTTATCAGTTGTCTCTGTGGGATAATATTGCATTTAGTTACTGCATAACATCAAAGAACTAGATGAAAGTTTTATGTGAGTTAATAATTGTAATTTGTTGCAGCGAATCTACGACTAAAAGCGACGAGACTCTCATTGTGTTGAGGGACCCATGTGTTAAAAGCTTTTACAGTTTACATTAGGAGCATCAGTATTTGTACATGGACTCGATTAATACCGGTATGTTAGAACATTCACAGGTTTATACCCCTGCGTGTCCGCGTTTGCGATGGACCATTGTGTCAAGCAGTAATTATCAGGACATTCTAGCAACGAAGCTGCAGTATGTTTAATGGAACCACAGTCATGTGTCTGTGTTTAATCTACCCAATTACACACAAGGCATGTTCGAAGCACTTGATGGGATGAAAATCCATCAATTCATCCCGGATTTGATGTGTTGTTCTGATTAACACTGGTGCTTGCAGATTGATTCCAATGGTACAGTCTATGTAATTACGCCAACTTCAACCCATCTACATTGCCCTCCGTTGAACCCAAAGAGTACACTCATATTGACTCTACAGATTTGTAGGATCACACCAATCCCTCTGTTCTTGCCCTGTAGCGACAGTTAATTTCACGCGTCAATGGTGACATATATCTCTTGTGGATGACTGTGTCTTCCTGTCGATATTAACAGTCAGATCGTACACCATGTAACGTTTTGTTGCTCCAAATCACAGTTCACTGGAATGTCAATACTGTTATACAGTGTAATGGTTGCGCATGCGTAAGATTAGATCGGGTGCACTGGTCTTGAAGACGTAGTATGTTCGATTTGGTGAGGATGGTAAGAGTGAGTTAGGTTTTACGCCGCTTTTATCAATATTCAAGCAATATCACGGTGGGGACACCAGAAATGGGCTTTATACTTTGTACTCATATGGGTAATGGAACCGGGTCATCGGCGTGACGAGCGTACACTTTAACCCAGGCTACCCCACCGCCCTAGGATGGTAAGACAGGGCTTTTATACCCTTTCCGCAGCTAACTAGAGTCTTCAGTTATTTTCAGTGATCCATGATTATAATTTTCGCAGCTATTTTGGCAACTGTAATCTGCTCGAAGACTGGTTTATCTCTTGTATTGACGTTTTATGTGTACTGTCGCGATAACAAATGAAGGTGGCCACTTTTGCGACAATTCTGACAATCCTGAACATGTGCTGATGAATCACGATAGAAATAGTGATTATACCCTCCCCATCGATGGCACCCATCACTACTGGTGGTCCAATTAATTGAAATAATCGAAGATTGGTCGCAATGACTAAATGACCAAGCAATCTATCAGGTTTTCTCATAATCGAACACAAACAATTTTGGAACACTTGTTTGCAATAACAATATTTTTCACAAGGCTGGTTAAATCTGTTACATTTCATTAGCACTACAAGCTCGTTCCAAGTCAGGACTGAATTTATCTTAAAGACTTCAGGAAAATATATGTTCCTAACATACTAGTCATCCTGTAAAGATGTGCCATTTGCAGAAAAAACTTGAAAGATCTAAATGTTATTTTCTATATTTTTTGTGCATTAACAAACATAACCAGGAAAATATGATACATGACGCTAACCAATTATTTTCGATGATTGATCATTTGTAATGAACCAATCATTAATTATAAGATTTTAACCAATTCCCAACATTACCCATCACAAGCACCTGGACAGCTTCGGGAACATATAATACAAGTCAAAATAGGGTATTGCATCGGACATAAGTTTTCCCACTGATGCATCAAATGTTGAAATGTTCTCCTCATGTCCACCATAAACCTGTTTCAAGTATCACTGAGGGCTTGGATGATGTAACCTTGAACAACTGAGCAAGAGTCGAATTACGCATATTGAAATCTTGGTAAAAAGTGCATGCCCGGTTTTACCTCACAAGGCTAGAGTTGCTGGAATATTGCTGACAAAAGGGGAAGTTGACTATTGGAAAGTTGAAATAATCCCTTTTGTGATTCAGTCTTGTAGAGAGTATTTTGGTCACGCTTAAACTTTCTGCCGAGATCAAAACATGAAACACATGTGCCTGCCTCACTTGTCTTCTTTATTAATGTTTCGTTTATACATCTAATTATACAGCCGGGTCCAGATGGTCAAGTATTCTGACGCCTATACGTCATATAGACCTATTACAGAGGAAAATGCCTCTTCGTGGTATGGGATAAATATGCAGAATTGTCCTTCGTGTTTTCTGGTATATATTTGTTTATCTTCGGCCAAAAAAATGTATAATACTTGCAAATAATACCGTCCCATTGGTTTTGGTTTAATGTTGGGAATTGTTTTGTAGAAATGTGAATTGCAGATTTCATATTTTCGCACCATATTTCATTGACACAATGCCAATGAAATAATGTAACTAGAATATAAAGACTCATTATATGGCCAAACTCATAACAATTTATTCCCCACGTCAACAGATCTGCGTTCATTACAGCTGCATTTTCCTCTCCCTGGGGAGTATACACCTCATTAAGGAGGCGTTAAAATGCATATGTGTACGGTGCAGAATATTCTATAGCCTCAGAAATTCAGGAGTTGAATTTGGTCTTGTCTGTCGCATAATTTCAAGATAACGTCATCCCTTGGGACGTAAAAAAACGCAAAGCTGGCTTCTATGAACATTCAACTGTATTGTGAATACAAGCACAGTCATTGTATCATGTATTGGAGGTAAAGGCCATGTGATAATCATCCATAATAGTTTGAATCTTGATGTCATAGAAGTCCACCCATTAGCTGCAGATCCTGGTTGTATAAATTGTATATTACACTATCGTTTAGTAATGTGAGCCGCGGTCGCTAAATTCAGGAAGCGCTGTACAATAAAACAAACAGTCCCTGGTCATTAGATGTCTGGACTCCCACAGTCAAAGACATCGTTGAACCAGCATGTCTGGTTCTGAGCTTGGTTTGTGGGGATGGTTGTCGTAATCAGCCTCTTAAATGCATCCATTTCGCAGTAATTACCCCCGTAAATGGGGAAATACCTTACTGAACTATTCCCCAAACTCTGCAATCACTGTTCTGTATTGTCATATGAATCGTTTCAGATACACCAAATCCAAGCCACGGCTGTGTGGGGATGACACACTATCATTACACGAGGCGACTAAAATAATGGCAGTCAGGACAAAAAAATGACAAAAATCTAAGTTTTCCAGGACTATGGTCGAGTCTTAATTGCCAAGTGGACAATGGATACGGATGGATGTGTGACTTGAAGGGTAGGATTAATTCCGCTTTCAGCAATATTAGAGCCAGATCACACCAGCCACTTGTAGGACATTGAACCTGGATCTTAGGCCTCACGAGCCAACGCTCTAACCACACGGCTACCCTACGGCCCCCTTAAAGAGGTATAGGTAGAACATGATTACAGTGCTAGTGAAGTGAGTGAGTATGGTTTTACGCGGCTTGTAGTAATATTTCAGCAATACAGCGGCCTAGGGGAGACCCCAGAATAGTCATCACATGTGGGGAATGGAATCCGGATCTTCGGCGTGATGAGCGAACGCTCTAACCACTAGGATACCCCACCTGGTAGAGAATATATGAGAATGTATCTGGTGGGGTTGGTGATAAAGTCGGTGTAGATGAAATAAATAATACCCTCGAGACATGAGAAGGGGGGGGGGGGGGCAAGAGTTGGGTTGTTCTGGAAAGAAATGTCTTGTGTACTTTTTGGCGCCGCCAAGAATACCACACGGTCGTCCCCTAACATTATACTGAGTATGGGATGTTCAATTAAGGTACTCGGGTAAGTGCCTGTACGCATTCCGGACAGGTACAGGAGTTAAGTCCACTGTGGACAGTGTCACTCACGCCATGTTCGTTCATCTTGTCCGTGTACTTCTTCTCTAGTGTCTGCATCTTCTCCTCGCATTGGGTGATGAGCTCCTGTACCTTGCTGGGACCTGTGAGACAGGATATAGAAAACTGATACAGTGTATCTTATAATAAATATGTTCCATTTCATGTTGGACATATGTGAAGGGTATGGATATGTGTGAAAGTTAAGACCTCTTTATGACCTTTTGCAACTCAACGGCTCTTCAGGTGCAATTAAAGCCATGTGACTAGTCATGTTCTCATTACACCTTGAGAGTTGTTGAGTGGTGAAAGATGTGTACATAAAGGAATTTTGACTAGCACAAATATCTGGACTCTCTTTTTTCGTACTTTTAATGGTTATGCACCTGAATAACTCAATTCATTAGTATATATATAGACATATACAAACCCGCGCGCGCACACACGCGCCACCGAACCTCACTTAACCGGATGCGTTGTCCGGATATTTGAATCCTTGTCAGTCTCCGCCCCTGCCAAAATGTTACGGAGGCAAAGACAAAATCCATTACATTACACAACAGATTATTGTGGTAATATGCACAGAGAGTAAGCGAATCCAGACAACGGGTGATTACAAACTCGGTCAATAGCAACGTGTCGTAATTTTAGATAAAACATTACCGGAACAGTACTAGAAATTGTATTTATGTCCTGCCGCGATAATCATTACCGGGTGTATTTTCTCGCGAACTGAGCTGGAACAGCAATCAGTTGTAATTACATTTTCCTCCCAATCTACCGGCGATTAAAGATATAACGCATGAAAGTTTGATGCAGTTGTTGCAATAAATTGTATCTGAAATCATTATAACAACAGGATATAAAGTAACATATTCAGTAATAACTATAAGCGTACCACTTGGTTCCTTGTGCCGGAATAATTTTTGCCTTCGGAACAATTTGATCTGTCACAGTATTTTTTCCGGGATTTCTATAGCGGAAACGTTATGTTTGCATGTTATAGTCAAAGTACAGCTAATATATGGAACACCGCTTTATTTATATATAATACCCGAGGAGATCCGGGTTAGAATTGATCTCCAGTAGCCCATACTTATCGAAAGAGGCGACTAACGGGACAGATGTCATCGCTGACTTGGTACCCCAATTTCATCGTATCCCAATTTCGTAGATGGATGCTCATGCTGTTGATTACTGGATTGTCCGGTTCAGACTCGATTATTTACAGACCGCCGCCATATAGCTGGAATATTGCTGACTGTGGCGTAAAACTAAACTCACTCACTCACTATTTATATATATGCGCCAGAATTTCGAGTGTGAAATGTAATAACAAACGTGGGACTGTTCCCCTGCTCCGAGTGGTGACCTCCCTTTGCCGGGAACTCCGGTGAAGGAAACATGCAGGGATGTACAGGCGCCAGAATTTCTCGTGACTAAAATGTCATGGCCAATGCTAGCGTGGAGCTCTCTTTAATTAAGTCCCATTGGATCGTCTCGTATGGCCTCCATAATTAATTACATGCATGAGGCAGTATTCTCCCAGTAAATAACGTAACTCACACTATTTGTCAATCAACTGCTTAGAGGAGAATAGTTGCAGCCGATTGACGCATGCATCTCGTTCATAGGAAGCAACATGTCCAGTGATTTGTTCAAACTGGCTTTCTTACCTCCTGCCCCGATGTACGTTCCCGGAGCCACTTTTGTGAAATTGTAAAAGCAATTTACTGAAGAATTATGATGAAATTCTCCTGAACCCGGCATAGCAATAAAATTACTGCGATCTCATGAATATAAACGTTGTAAACATTTCTTTGTGAGAAGTCCTTTCGTTGATGCATCATTTGACTTCCAAAGCTAAACATTATTGATGACAATAGAATACGAAATTACATGAGACAGTTGTAAAACATTATTTGATTTAGTTTTGTGGAAATAAGTCATGAGTCTAATGTTACGTAATATCGCAATCAACACTCAAAACATTTAATGATATATTTTTAGAAGTTGCCGCCATATTCTAAAATGCCTCACACCTTGCCTAAGTTATCTTTAATGACAAGAAAAAAAATAAATTACACATTCTGACTTACCTCAAGGGCACATTACTGGGTTAACATGAACATATTGGGTTATCACGATCATACTGGGTTATCATAAACATATTGGTTATCATGAACATATTGGGTTATCATGATCATACTGGGTTATCATGACCATACTAGGTTATCATAAACATATTGGGTTATCATGATCATACTGGGTTATCATGAACATAGGGTTATCATAAACATATTGGGTTATCATGAACATATTGGGTTATCATGACAATACTAGGTTATCATAAACATATTGGGTTATCATGATCATACTGGGTTATCATGACCATTGGGTTATCATGATCATATTGGGTTATCATGATCATACTGGGTCATCATGATCATATTGGGTTATCATTATCATATTGGGTTATCATGATCATACTGGGTTATCATGAACATACTGAGTTATCTTGATCATACTGGGTTATCATGAACATACTGAGTTATCATGATCATACTGGGTTATCATGATCATATTGGGTCATCATGATCATATTGGGTTTATCATGATCATACTGGGCTATCACGTGAATATTGGGCTCTTACGTGCACATTGGGTTATTACGTGCATATTGAACTCTCACGTGCATATTGGGTTATCATGTGCACATTCCTATACGTAAGGACTTACTCATCATGGTGACATTAGCGAAGGTCTCAGGGCAGTGCACCAGCAGTAATCTGTTCCCTGGCTTGTGGAAGTGTTGAACATACCCTGAAACACAAACAAACTCAATGAATATGCTTCCATACATACAAATGTCCGAAGGGGTCTCACGAACTCCACCGTCCACCATCTTCATATCAGACAGATTCCCCATGGACCCCGTACCTAATGAACGACCTAATATCCTCCCCAAATTTCCAATCTCCTAAGATCGGTTGTTTTCATTTCTCGAGTAATGAGTGAGAATAAATGTCCCATCGCTAACACTTGTTCCACAGTAGACGAGCTTCTTGACACGATTCAAAGACCCATGTGCCAAATGTTCACACAACCTTGTAATGGACAGGACATGGCGATAAACCAGTGGAGATTCAATTAGCTGCCGAGGGGCTTATCGATGGAGGAAGACGGCCAGTACATTGATTTGTTAATGTAAAAGGCAAGGTAAGCCTAAGTCGAGACACCTAATCCAGAGCTTCTTGCAACACACTGCATCTGTTAATGCATCTTTTAATGCTTCTTGAACCACACACGTTCATGTGTAGGACATCTCAAGTTACCTAGTGACGACTGATAGTCGGTTTTGTCAATTTATTCCGAACGTTTGATTTCAATTTTGAAATCTTTTGATAAAAAATGAATCTGTCTAAAAACAGAAAGGTTTGCTTGATGGTAACCCTCGATAATCTCCAGGGCATACGTTCCGATAAATCTCCAGCACTAGTGGCGATTTATCGGAAGGTATACCTTGGAGATTATCGAGGATGCTTAATGGTTTACGATTTCAACAGATTAATCAAAGCTTTGGATACCGTGGATTCTCTTTATGTGCGTATATGCCCGTTTTAGTTGTTTGAGAGCTTGTGTGGGTGGTTTGGTCAGTGTATGGCTGAATGAATAAGCAAATATTGTTTTACGCCGAGGTCAGAAATATGAAGTTATATCATAATGAACAGAATCGATTCAATGAGTTATCATGCCATGGCATATTGACTACGATGATATGAAAGAATAGTTTGGTTGTTATTACTTTGTATTGAGTAGTATACGTTCAAATCCCAAGTCGCCGATTTCACAGTATCACTCTAAACCGTACAGACCGCCCCCGTGGTGTAGTGGTTAGAGCGTCCGCCCGGAGAGCGGAAGGTCGCGGGTTCGATCCCCGGCCGCGTCATACCAAAAGACGTTAAGATATGGCACTTGTTGGTCCCTGCCTGGCGCTCGGCATTAATGGGTACAACAAGGACTGGTCGGCTCGGAGTCAGTATAATGTGTTTGAGTGGGATATTCATGCTTAACTGCAGTATGGTATCTCAGTGAGCTAGCACTATAAAACCAGCTTCAGTCTGGGCTAGTACAAGCAGCCACACATACTCACGCATGCGCGTCATCATATGAATGAAATATTCTCAAGTACGACGTTAAACCCTATTTCACCTCACCTCACTAAACTGTACATTGTAACATATCCTCGAAGTCAACACGGTGGTCAATAATATGAACATCGATTCACACCTTCAGGTGATGTTATCGCTTCGTAACTAAACCACTGTGTTAGAAAGCGGAGTCAACAGGAAGAGGGTGAGCGAGTGACAATGTCACGTCAATATTGTAGCTCCACGTTAACGAGTGAGTTTAGTTACGCCGCATATGTCCTTCACCAGAGTTCCCGGCAAAGGGAGGTCACCACTCAAAAGCAGGGGAACAGTCCCACGTTTGTTATTACATTTCACACTCGAAATTCTGGCGCATATATATATATATAGTGAGTGAGTGAGTTTAGTTTTACGCCACAGTTAGCAATATTCCAGCTATATGGCGGCGGTCTGCAAATAATCGACAGCATGAGTATCTATCTACACAGTTGGGAACCGATGACATGTGTCAACCAAGTCAGCGAGCCAGACTACCCGATCCCGTTAGTCGCCTCTTACGACAAGCATGAGTTAGTGAAGATCAATTTTAACCCGGACCGTCACGGGTCCACGTTTACGAGACAGTCAGTGGAGATCCCGATGAATATAAATGAGACACACTTGAAATTGTTCAATTAGCCGAGAAGTTAATCTATGTAATGATGATTATGTCAAACTCCTAATGACTGATACTTAATTTCTGGATGCCTATTGGAACCCTTTAGCGCACATCCCGTTAATCTGGAGTGTTCAAAGCTGAATGGACCCAAACAAAAGCCATACGCACTACCAAATAAACCCTTAAGTAATATTCTCCCATACAAATCTTTACTAAGACGCAACGGTCTATTCAGTCTCCAGCTCGGCCAATAATCAACTATCTGCAATCGAGCCACCTATCATTTCAACTGCAAGGGGCCTGAAACCTACCATTTCCTGCCAAGTTACATTTAATAGTCCCTGCCTGCTCGTTCAGCGGATCACGCACGTCTTCTATGAAGTGGAGGTCTTCAGAGTGGAGAAACGTCTTACGTCAATAGACCACCTGACATCTGATACCAGTCATCACTGGACAGCCAGACACTGATGAGCTGAGGTTGTGCGGACGCATACTGGTGCTGGGTAGCATTGGCATCTTGAGGGAATACATCATAGCTTACTGTGTCTTGAAGGGGGTCAAAACTCTATCAAACTAGCAGCCCTTTGAAGTTTAAGACAAATCTTTTATCACTTCTTGTTATCCAAATTACCGAGACAATGTCTCCCCCGGAACCAGTCAGAAAGGACTTCCATGTTTATAGATGGTTTCTGGACGTTCTTCTCAGTGCCTTTCACATCGATATTTTTCCGTATGGTGGCGGTAGAATGCGGGGAAACTCTTTCTGTACTTTGTTTCTTGTGGAATGTTATATGGTTGCTAAAGCTGTTACATGGAACTGATATCAACGCCCTCCACCTTTATCACGAACGACACCCACCCCCATCCCACATCGCCTTCATCACACTACTTTCGTCACACCTCCCCCCACCTTCACGCCCCCATGCCTCCCCCCTATCTTCATCACACAAGCCCAACTTCATCACCCACCCACCTTCATCATGATACCCCTACCTTCATACTAGGCCCCCACTGCCTCTATACGTTTGATATTTCATCCAGGAACAATTCCCATGATGGCCAGCCATCCTCAAACTACATCTCCTGAAAGGTCTACGGACAATGGCTCCATGAGTCAACTGACGGTTGAATATGAAACACACTTCCCAGACCCGATCTTTCTTCTGCCATGACAAGGGAATGAATAACAAATTCAGGTTTGCAATATACTCAAGCCGACAAATGTCACGTCCATATGTTCCACCATCTTAGACCAAACCATGCTTAAACCAACACAATCAACTAATCTTTCCATATGCACGTACAATGACGAGATCTCTGGTGATGTAGCCCACGTCAGTTGCACACAAACATGTCTCTCTAGGGCAGCATCTTCAGGGATACATGACAACGACAGCAGCGGTCAAACATCTGAGTCCGGGACCATCTGAGTTTTCCCCATGCAAATATACGACCCAGTGATCCCACTACAATTAAATTAAATTAAATAGAATTAATCTAATTGAGATTTCTCCTATAGGAAATACACAAACGTTTTGTCCATGCACAACGTTGAAGCCGCCATAAAGCTGGAATATTGCTGACTGTGGCGTTAAACAAACATGTTGAAACCATATAAACAGTGCCGTGAGTGATATTTGAGCTAATAATTATGAGTTATTAAAATTTTACCACTTATCTCATTTGACAAAAACGAAATTTTGATTTTTATATTGATAAACGTGCTTATCAAGCTCAAAGCTCACAAAAACTCTGGGCATAACTTTCTCACGTTCCAGGAGTCTAATTACATCGTCCATGCCGAGAACATACACATACCAGCACCAGTATTTCTTTACTTCAGACTACTGTAATCTTGAATTATGTTTTATGAAAATGGAAAGCACAGAAAATGATTCACATTCAAAGAGATAGGTGATTAAGTATTGGAATTGATATTGTGTCACTTTTCAAGACATGAACATTAAGACGTGGCGGTTCATTGTTCTGGCATAAATGATTCTAAAGTGAAAAAATGGTGTTTTAAAAACCCTACATGTCAAAACCACGTATTAATAAATCAATGTCAATCAATTTCAGCACGAGCGCCCAACTTTTCATTGAAATAAAAGGCACTTCGGTTTACGAAAGTCTTATGATTACGAACGTAACTGAATTTTGGTGAGGAAAAATATCGCTTGAAACTGTTCGTACTATTTTTAATCTATATATTTCCTGTTATCTTTAAGAAACATCTAATAACATTAGCTATCATATTGATTATATTTTTAATATCTCAAGAGAACGAAGCGGTAGAAATGGCGTTCTGTATTCAGCATAGAAAAGATAATGATTCACACATATTTGTAATGGCTTTTCAATTTAAACACACTGTCAAATACAAGTATTGTGCGGCCGTTGCATTTAGATAGTAAAGCGATTGTGTCGAGGTCTCTGAAATATAGACGCTTTCAGAGCTTAATTAACTGATATATAGTCGCTTTTCAGAGCATTACGACCCCCTGGTCCCGCTCACAACCCCCACGAGGCTGAAGGCGACGTAATGCGCCCACCGATGTAACTCAATTCACCAATAAATATCGAATCGTAGTCGAGATCAATACTGTGGTGGGCACAGACCTATCGGTCTTCACATCTTTGTTGAGGATCAGGCCTCATTGATCTCTCACCAACTTGTGTGCTGTAGCCCTAATACCACAAAGATAAACACGTATGTCAAATAGATTGCACGACCGAGAGGAAATGAAGTCCTTAATTTGTAAGCGGACAGGGACCGTGATGAAGCGCGTTCATTTTCTGGAACTGCAAAGGGTTTATTTCGGATTGCAAGGAGTAATATCACTCAAGATACTAGTTCTACAAAGAAAAAACACAAAATTGCAATTTATTGTAAATTGGGTCTAGACCTATCGTATACGTTTAGTTCTAATATCAGCTTGGATCATCATTAATATTACTGTTAACTCAATCAACACATTTATTCTTCAGCTAAACCCAAGTAAGCAAGAACCGGG